ATCTATCTATCTATCTATCTATCTATCTATCTATCTATCTATCTATCTATCTATCTATCTATCTATCTTTAGTCCAGCTTGTGTCACAGTTGCTTCTCTTGTATCAGTCTTCTCTGTTCAAATTTATAATCCACTAGGTGTCACCCTCTCTTCAGTATCACTGTCCGTTCAGTCAATCACAGTCAGTAATCACAGCAGGCCCAGGGGCAAAGACAAAACAGAGGGGGGTAGGTTAAAGAGCCCTGCATCCATTCCAAAACAATTCTCCGATCCAGTTCTAGCTCCCGAGAAGAGTAAATACTGTATATTTGTAAAGTGTCCCCTCCAAAAAAAAAAAAGAACACTTGTTCCCTTTGTTACCTGAATTTATTGTTCCTGACTGAAGCTCTGTTCAAGGTTCAGCTTTTCTTTGGAAAGACAGAGTAGAAAGAAGAGGAGAAAAAACAATCAACAACCAGCCTGACTGTTATACAATCCTTTGTATGCTTTCCAGGTTTTCTCAATATATCCTGCTTCTGTTGTCAATGCCGCTTCTGTTGTCGATGCCGGCTTTTGGTTCTTTCTCCTCCTTCTCCTATCGGGTTTCTCACTGCGGCCACTTCTGTTCTATTATTCACACTGTCACTTTCAACTCACTAGCTCACCTCTCTCTACTTTTTCGGCAAAGATCTGGACTTCAAAAACAGTCTGTGTCACAAAGCTTTTTCCTTTCCAGGTCACCCTCTCCACCAATTTCGGGTTGTCCTCCTTTTCTTTGGGTTGTCAATGATAACAGATGTCTCAATTTCAATTGCTTTCTCTATTTGCTTCCTTCTTATGCGGTTGCCATCGCTCCGGTCCTATCTAAGTGGCAGGATAGATCCTCGTCCATTTAGTGGGTTTCTCCTACCCACTGGGGGAAGCCTCCATGGATTCCATGCTGTTGGATAATTTCCAACCTGTCTCCAAGCTCCCCATTTGGGGGAAGATTGTTGAGAAGGTAGTTGCAGACAGCTGCAGAGGTTTCTGGATTAAATGGATTATGTAGACCCCTACCAGTCAGGATTCAGGCCTGGATTTGGGTTAGAAATGGCATGGGTCATGCTTTTGGATGATCTCTGGAGAGAGCGGGGTGGAGGTACTGCATTCATCCTTACTCTACTTGACCTCTTGGCAGCTTTCGATACCTTCAACCATGGTATTCTCTTGGGACGGCTTCGTAGGATGGGAGTGGGAGAGCTTGTAATATCCTGGCTCATTTCCTTTCTCTCCGGCCACTCTCAGATAGTGCTGATAGGAGGGGAGGGATCCAATCATCTCAATACTCAGTACTCTCACTGCTCCTGCTCCTGTTCAAGATTTATATGAAGCTGGTGGGTGAGATCATCTACCAGCACGGACTAAGATATCACCAATATGCTGATGATATGCAGTTGTATATCTCGGCCCGTGGTGGGTTAAGCGATGCTATGTCCTCCCTCTCGCAGAACCGGGAGGCTGTGAGGGGCTGGATGAGGAGCAACAGGTTGAAACTAAACCCAGGCAAGACCGAGTGGCTCTGAGCTTGGGGTTCGTTGGCCAAGGGAGAATTGGTCTTGAATGGAGTGGCAGTACTCCAAACAGACCCCGTGCGCAATTTGGGGGTTCTCTTGGACTCACACCTCCTGCTTGAAGAGCAGCTGGCAGTTGTGACCAGGAGGGCCTTTGCGCAACTATGGATTGTGCACCAGTTAAGCCCCTTTTGGCCCGACATTCCCTACTCATAGTCACTCATGCCCTAGTCACTTCACATCTTGACTATTACAACATGTTCTACATGAGGCTGCTCCTGAAGAGCATCTGGAAAACCCAATTGGTGCAAAATGCAGCAGCTCACATGGTTTTGTGCAAACTCCGGTGTACATATGTATCACCTCTCCTGCAGCAGCTGCATTGGCTACCAATTTGCTTCCAGTGCAATTTAAGGTTCTGGTTGTCACCTTTAAAGCCACCTTCATGGCTTGGGATCAGGTTATCTGAGATCATCTCTTACTGGTTACATCTGTCCGACCCACCAGAGTGTGGATGCAGGGAATGTTCCATTTCTCATCCCCTAAACAAATACACCTCGTAAGACCCAGAAGAAGGGTCTCCATGGTAGCTCCCTTTCTTTGGAACATCACTCCCCCGGAGATTAGACTGGCCTGCACTCTAGTACTTTTCCGGAAGGCGTTGAAGACCTGGATCTGCCAGCGGGCCTGGGGAACTCAGAGTGGGATGGAGCCTATTAAATGTCTCCTGTAAGTGCTGTCACCGGGGCAAGAAGTGGGATGATATTATTTTAATGTATTATATAATTCTCCTTTTATTACTTTTATTGCTTTAATATGGGTTTTATATTTTGTAAGCTGCCTTCAGGTCACCATCTGTGAATAGGCAGTATATAAATTGTTTAAAATAAATAAAATAAATATTTTGTTAATTATTTCTTTTGATATTACTTATTCCTTACAGAGAAACAAAGAATGAAAATTTCTGGTTTTTATGATGGTGATCAAGCAGCGGTAGAACCTCTAAACCAAGTAAGAAAGGTAAAAGTTATTAGATTTGTATTCTCGTCAGAACTGGGTATGTCTAGTTTAATGAAAAGAAGGACGAGGGGAGACATGATAGCAGTCTTCCAATATCTCAGGGGCTGCTACAAAGAAGAGGGAGTCAAACTATTCTCCAAAGCACCTGAGGGCAGAACAAGAAGCAATGGGTGGAAACTAATCAAGGAGAGAAGCAACTTAGATCTGAGGAGAAATTTCCTGACAGAACAATTAATCAGTGGAACAACCTGACTCCAGATGTTGTGAATGCTCCAATACTAGAAGTTTTTAAGAAGATGTTGGATAGATAGATAGATAGATAGATAGATAGATAGAT